CCCTGATTCCAACTCTGCGCGTGAACCGTGAACAACTCATTAGGGGGTAAAGTGCACGCAGGCGGAAAACGAACAAGGGTTGGGGACATTTCTGCCTTCGTTTCTCACCAAGGGTTCGCTCATAGACTGCAGTCGATGGCATCTCTTAATGTTCGACGGCTTGTGCACCAGATCTTATTTATTCACGATGTACTTACAAAAAATTCCGCAGATTACCTACTGGATCTCCTCTCTGTTTCAAAGAACAAATTTGACCTCAGGTCTTCGCTCATTTACCAGCTTCACATTCCCTATTGCCGTACAAAAACTGGAGGAAGAGCTTTTGCTATTGATGCCCCCAGGGTCTGGAATGCTATTGCCAATAAACTGCAACTTGAATCACTACCTATGAGATCTTCACTCAAAACTGCTCTAGAGGAGTTGTACAACCCTAGCTGCCACTGCTATTCAGTGGCCTAAATTATGGCCCTAGATTTTGGTGTTATAATTTATTTATGTAGTTTATTGTTAAAAATTCGGTCACAGTCCCTATGATCACTGTTACATTGCATTTATGGCTTTTATATTGGTGATTTCGAAAAGTGTTTTTGTTTTGGCCATGTTTTTGTTTATTGTAGTACGGAGTTAGACTGATGGCCTTAATCTTAGTTGTCTTGTGGTTGTTGTTGTTTGACTTGCATCCCACTGGGATTTTTGCACACAGCGTTGGTGTACGGTGCTATTTCAGGAATATTTTGATTTTTTTTCCTGTATTTTCTGTTTGCACAGTCACAAAATCACTTTAAGATGTTTTCTTGTTCATGTTTTTTGTTTGTTGCGGTTGCACCCGATTCAAGAGCCGAATGGCTCACAGGGCTATACCAAATAAATGAACTATGAACTATGACGTGGATTGTATCCAGAGCCCACAGCGAGAGGTATCCTGGATGTGTTGTTCCGGGTGCGGAAATATTGTCCGAAAATACCCCTCTGTCAAAGCCGTCTCTCGGGTAGGGAAAATCGGGGCGACTGCCCCGAGCCCCGCACTTTGGGGGATCCCGCGCTTCGACGTCACGGTGTCAGGCGTAACAGTGTCCGTTTAGTTTGAAGGCGTCAGCGAGCCCAGGCGCAGGGGTTTGGCCCAGGCCCCGCACCACCCCTGTGGACGGCCCTGCGGGACTGTGCCCGTCTGTGAGGCATTGTCCCTCCGTGCGAGTCCTGCCGCTATCGTTCATGGCGCGAACGATCGCTTAAAGAAATGATGCTGCACTCTTCTGAAAAGGAAATCAGAAAAATATCGACCGCCGTGTCCCAGGTGTGGTATTCTGGCCGTGGTAACATCTTTCTCTCCCCCACACTGCCACCGTGCAGGAGGAGTGTCCAGCCTCTCTATCCCGTATCAACTGTCCAGCCGCTACCTTGATGTGTGTAACGGAATCGCGCTAACTACTGCGCCACCGCTCCCCAAACAGACCACAGTTTTGACTCATCGTGAGCCCCCCCCCCACCCAGGCCCCTCCCCGCCCACTGATCCCTCCCCCAACTCATACATATTGAATGATTTAAATCTCAGAGCTGTCAAAATTGTACGCGATGTAATTTCTCTCGATTTCTCACATTTACTGCCGCCCTTATCTCCCTCCGCGCACCTTCACTGCCACTGTGCAACCTCTACCTGCAGCGGGGAAGCGGGAGAATTAAAGTGGGGGGGGGAGAATTAAAGTGGGGGGGGGGGGGGTTCGAGGCTAACCCCGGGGCTGCCCCTCCCCCGACAGGGGTCCGAAACCGATCCCAACAATGGGGGGGATATTTTTGAGGTCCAATCTCGAGCGGTGTCATTTAGGGCATCATTGTCGAGCGATCCTGTGGCCAGGGCTCCCGGAAGGCCCCCGGTCTCAGAATCTAAGCAGGATCGATCTTGTCATTGTGCTGGGACGGGCGACAGCCGTGATAGGTGCTAACGGCTACTGCGGGGCCACGATGGCAAGCCGCGTTCTGTACAGCAAAAGTAATTTGTTGTACTGTCTCTTCTACGCCCCTTCCCTACCTTTACCAAAATCCGCACTAACCAGCCTGGGGAGGCCCTTATCCAGCGGTGGATTGAGATTCGAGCTGGCTGTGATGAAGATGATCGGCAGTAAATGAAGAAATGTATCTGTCATTCGTAATTCAACCTTTCCACGTTATGGTTGGCCTCGACGGAGCTGCTTGGGGATAGGTGCCGAGCTGACAAAGGAGATTGATGCACTCACCTATTCATTCATCTATTCATATATCTATTGAATCATTAACACACTTACCCAGTCATGCACCCATTCGCTCGCTCGCTCACTTACTCACTCACCCAGTCAACCAACTCCCTTAGCCAGCCAACAATTCACGCACTTCCTCGAGCATCCACTCATTTATTCACAGAACGATTCATTCACTCACACAATCGTCAATTCACTCACTAACCCATTAGTCACTCACTCATTCACTCTACCACGCGCCCACTTCAATCACCAACTCAATCACGAACTCGCCCGCACGCTCAGTTACTCACACATCCACTCGATCGCCCACTCATTATGTGCCCACCTACCCAGTCACTCATGCACTCACTCATCTACGCGCTCAGCCACCCACTCACACAATTAAAAACCACTCATCCAACCCAACAACTGATGGCGAGGGCGTGTGTGCGATGGGACGATGGTGGTGGCATAGTTGTGTGTGATGGGGTGGATGTGTATGGTGGAGGGAGGGCGGTTAACGGGTGGAGGAAGGCGGGTAACGGGTGGAGGGAGGGGGTTAACGGGTGGAAGGAGGGGGGGGGTTAACGGGTGCAGGGAGGGGGGTTAACGGGTGCAGGGAGGGGGTTAACGGGTGGAGGGGGTTAACGAGTGGAGGGAGGGGGGGTTAACGGGTGGAAGGAGGGGGGGTTAACGGGTGGAGGGGGTTAACGGGTGGAGGGAGGGGGGTTAACGGGTGCAGGGAGGGGGTTAACGGGTGGAGGGGGCTAACAGGTGGAGGGAGGGGGTTAACGGGTGGAGGGAGGGGGGGTTAACGAGTGGAGGGAGGGGGGTTAACGAGTGGAGGGAGGGGGGTTAACGGGTGGAGGGAGGGGGGTTAACGGGTGGAGGGAGGGGGTTAACGAGTGGAGGGAGGGGGGTTAACGAGTGGAGGGAGGGGGGTTAACGGGTGGAGGGAGGGGGGTTAACGAGTGGAGGGAGGGGGGTTAACGAGTGGAGGGAGGGGGATTAACGGGTGGAGGGAGGGGGTTAACGAGTGGAGCGAGGGGGTTAACGAGTGGAGGGAGGGGGTTAACGGGTGCAGGGAGGCTGTGTCTATGGCTGTCTCATCCCCCATCCCCCCTCTCCCCCGGGTTGTGCAGTAGAATAACACCCGGTGGGGCGATTATAAAGATGATGATGATGGCGGTGGTGGTGATGGTGGTAATGATAATGGTGGTGATAATGGTCCCGCGATCCTGGCGCCTGGTCCGGTCGCTTCTGGACGCAGCGGGAGAGGAAGCCACCAGACACCATGACGCGAAACACAACTCAATTAACGGGGTGGGGGGGGGGTGCAATGGTGGTCGGGACGACGTCCGACGTTTCAGCCCATTCCGTGAAGAAAAAGCTCCCAGCACGTGGGGCAAACAACGCCGGAGCACCCCGCGATGCAAAGCGCAACGCGCAATGTCAGAGAAGGATTTGAATTTAAATTGGATTCTCATTGTACCACCAAAATACAGTAAATATATACTGTCTACATACCGTATATATACTGTAGAGAGTTCAATCTGTTTGAATGTTGCGGCTTTGTTTCTGCTCTGTATAGGCGCCGAGACAACGCTCCGCGTGTAGCCGCGTGGCTTTATTCCCGTGCCGTCTCCTCGACCCCAGCGTCAATTCCACATTCCCTGCCCTCCGTCCTCGCCTGGCGTTCCTCTCTCGCTCGTTACGGCTTCTTATCGACCCACACCTCGCCCGCCCGCCACTGCCTCGCAACATTTAGAAGTCATTAAAATAACTTCTTTTATTTTTACAATAACCACAAACTTAGCTGAGCCGGAAAGATAAGCCTGTCATACTCGAGTAATTATAGTGGAGCAGTGCTGCCGTGGTTAGCTCGCTGTAGGATAATAACCATAGATGGCACAGTTCTGATGGACCTCGGCTGTCTGAGAAACGTGTCCCGGTTTGGGCTACAGTGGGGAAAGTGGTGAGCCTAGTCCCACCCGAGTTTGACGCTTCAATAATGGACACGTTCCACTTTCACTGCCCGTCCGGCGTTCGTCCGTCACCCCTTGGATCAATCAGATTGCTCATTTTATAATTCTACGAAAATAAATGCGTGGCCATCAACCAATCGCAGCGAGTGACCGCCAGGTTCCTACTCGATTGAGTGGCCGCACACTGCCCACACCAAGACGGGCAGTACCTGTACCATGTACACCGCGTCTCCACCTCCGTCGCTTGTGCCGAGACGATGGAGATTTGCAATACAAAGCCAATTAAATGGAGATTTCCCTCGCGACAGGCAGATATACTGAAGAGGTAGCAGACAGCGTTTGTCAACGATCCTCCTCGATGGACCGTGAAGCGACCACGCGACCGGTCAGCCTGGGGTGGTCGCTCCGATTCGCCGTACGCTTGAGACGGCTCTGCTGGTGCCACGCGCGCCTTCTTCACGTCACCCAGCACGCGGATCCTAAAGCGCAGAGCATCGTCTGTGACGCACCACAGGGTCACACGCACCTCCACCAATCAGGGACTCGTTGCGCCGCGTGCACGCGCCCGTGGCCTCCACTGCATTGGAGGACACGGACAGACGCCTCGGCGATGGACTGTCAGCTCGTCGTGTCCACGTCATTATTATGTAATGGCCAGTGAGAGTGGATTACTAAATAATCGCACTAATTTCCATCGGTTATCGCATCATTCACTGTTATTGGCCTCGCAGAAAAACTGAAACCACTAAATGCACAACCCCCACGTGGTAACCGACGAGTGACGCCCGCGGGACAACTTGCCACTCGACCGCCTCCAATTCCCCGTGGTGCTGCACCAGCGCCCCCCCGTGGCCACGGCTGGGTAGGGAGGCACGCGGTGGAGGTTCCTGATGTGGCGTGAGGCTGGTGGGTGTCATTGCCTTCGTGTGACAGACGGTGCACCGCGCCACGCCGAACAATACACCACATGTCGCCATCATTTCCTTCCTTCTGCCAGTCTCCGCAGCTGTTGCACGGTCGACACGTGACCTACCAAGGACCGCGCTTACAGTCCCATCAAATGAGGTGAAATATTTTTAATAAAAATCACAGTAATGCTCAACACCACATTTCCGTAATCACCGGACCCGCGCGGGGTAGCGCCCCCTACCGGCCAGGGTCGCGTTCTCCCCGGCGCAGGTGACCAGGAAAGGCCGAGGGCTGCACAGGCCGCGTCTGCGGGCCTCGTCTCCATAGACCCCCGGGGGTCTCCTCGTTCGACTCCTGCAACCTGAGTTCGACCCCAACTCCCGTGTCTCCCTCCCTCTCCACGGCTCCTGTCACCTGAGTTCGACCCCGGCTCCCATGGCTCTGCTCCGCCGGGCGGGCTGTTGGACCTGCGGCCTTCTGACGAGCGGTGTCGGCCCGGGATTCGGTGAGTGCTAAGGCCCCCCGCAGTAGCCGAAGTGGACGAGCCGAGGTCACCCATCGTGGTGAATGAAGCTGCCTTCATTTGCAGTGGCACAACGGCAAAAAAAACCCCCAACGCATTCACCAATGACACCGCGGCTGTATAATGGCTTATACTATGTGTAATAGGCGACGTTTCGGGCGACGGCTGTGCGCGTTCGTGTGTTGTTTGGCTGGGTGTGATGCACGCGCACCGTGTGCTTTGTAAGTTCAGCACGTGTGTGTGCGTGCCTGTGCACGCACACACACGTGTCATTGCATGTCATTGCTTCGTAGAAGCGGGATAAATCTTACAAAACGAGATGTTCCATCTCACGGGAGGTTTTCCAGGAAGTGACGGAGGTGTTCGTCCTAATCTTTGTGTTGTCTCAAACTACACCAGAAAACCTGTGCATGCACAAAGCCATGTGTGTGCGTTGTATAACTCTCATACTTTCCCGATGTGCACTATTCTGTTCATCACTTACACGTTTCCGTACTGTGTTTATTCTGTGGTCTGCCAAAGTTGCTATTTAAAAGTACAATGTTGGCCCTCAGTAAGTTCAAAGGTTATCCTCCACCAGTGAGCGGGATCTCCAGAGTTAGATCTCTGCACCAATGCCTTTCGTGGTGTCTCAGGGTCAAGTTTTGCTGCCATTCACCTCGTGCACGTGAACCAATCCCATCACTCCACTTCGATAATAATGCTCTACCATTTATAAATGTAATGCAAGATGATAATTTGCATCGTCCTGGAGAATAGAAGTAGCAAAATGAACAGACAATAACACGCCTCACACACTGGAACCTGTCACGTAAAAGAATAAAATATATTTTTTAACACATCCCATCAGGATCGTGGCCTTCTGGATGCACATATATATGGAGGGACAGGTACGTGGAGGAGGCATTTTTTCTGCTTGTTTGTTTAAATGTGACGTCTCCTTTGACCCTCCATCAGCATGGCCAGTGAGGAGGGCTGCTCCTGCCCTGGGCCAATGGGCCCCGTTCGCGTCGCAAGCGGCGACCTCCCGCTACAGGACACGCGAGACCTCGCGGGCCCAGGGTTCAGCAGGAGCGGCGGGCGGCACTCGACAACGCCCAGAGGGTGGAGGTGGAGAGGGGAGGCTCACGGCAGCGGAACTCCTGGAGAGGATGAGGTCTCGGGGAGATGCAAAGCCAGCTCGTGGCAGCCGGAGTCGCACCAAGCATCAGGTTTCCATTTCACTGTTTGTGTCTTTCTATGATAGAATAGCTAAAGGGTTATAATTAAAGAGGAATTAATAACCGGCTGCAAAACAACTGTCCATCACAATGTTTTCGTCGATAAATTGGCTTAATTAACTATTGGATAGACGCTAATATGACTTGTACAGTCATCATCACCCTCGATCAATCCACTGTTAAATGAAGGCCTCCCAAAGCACCACCCTTTCATGTAGCAATTCATCTGGCACCTGCGGTGGACCTCCTCACTGTGGTGGACCTCCTCCTGGTCCGTGGGCCCAGTGCAGTTGCACTGCCTGTATACTCTAGCTACACCACTGTCCTGACTTCAGCTCTAACAACAACAGCAGATTATGGTAGATCACTAACAAGAAGACTACCCGACAGCCTCGCCTTGAGCGGATGCACATCATGTCAATGTGTACTTTCCCTGCTATTTCCTCCCGCCCTCCTCATTGCTGAACAGGCTGCAGTCCCCGATGATCCCGTGAAGAGGCAGGCGCAGCACCTGAAGAAGCAGACGACCTTACTGCAGCACGTACATCCCACGGTGCTGGCAAAAGCACTGCTCAAGAATGTGATCCACCAGCAGGTGGGTGAGGGTCAATGGCATCTGCTTCTTCACCACCTCTTTCATCATTGTTGTAATTACTTGATATTTTTGCTGTGCTTCGTGTGTCATTACATCTCAATACATACGCTATTTTTTTACATATGAACCAACAAACCACTGATCTATAAACACAATAACAAACCAAATCTACTGTACAAAAAAGCATACACTCGTTCATCGGTGGTCTGTCATCTCCTTATCACTCTGATGTTGCTACTACCATAGTTACTGTTTCCATTAACTTCCTTCGTTGATTCCTTCACCCATATTGAGGACTCTGTCTACCAGACAGACTGTTTCTCTCATAGACGCTGTTCAACCACCATACTGAACGACAAAACACTTCTCTTTCTGCTTCTTTCCTCGCACTGCACCACATTGGAATTCCCTTCCATCGTCTTTCTCCCATGTTTTTACAACCTTGCTCATTTCAAGAGACGTGTTAATTATCCATCAATGACACCTTCTGGTCATTGCTTGCCACTTGATGTTTTGGGCCTTTGAGCCTGTATTCAACACAAGATGAAATACCCAAAATATGTATGAATTATTCATCTGTATATTTATACAATGCACACGACTGATTGTTCATAGCTAATTTTTGAACTGCAACTAATTTGTCTGATCTGTAATTGATCCAAGCTTGTCGATGCGGCGATGGTCTTGCAGTCCGTCCTTTTAACCTTGGTATCATTTAGCAAAGGCACACTCGACAGTTGTGATGTTGATGCAGGGCACCTGAAGGACTTTGCTGTTTGTTCGTTAACCCGAGAGTGCTCTCAGAGATGTGCAGCTGTGACAAGTAGACAAATGGGATGTTCTGAGGTGTGTTGGTTCGTATTTTGGCCAGAGTGCTCCACCATTAGTTGTGTGTCGGGAGCATGTTGACTAGGGGCCAAAGTGCACCGTGACGAGAGAACACGGTTTAGCACTTAAGTTACTTCCCCGTGGTCTGTCGATATAACCGAGAAGTTGAAATGGGCATAAATTATTTAATGGTCATGAATTATTTTCGAGTTTTTCTGTTATATTTCACCATTGTGCATTTCAGGATTGTACAATTTACTTCCGAGACCAGTTGCTATCCCAGTGCTCAGGTCTATAACATATTTGAACACCTTATTTATTTGCTAATTTGTTAATGTTCTTGGCTTTATATTACGTGTAGTTATGCCATCAAATGTTATAATTACTGTATTGCATTACTTTTATGTAGCGATGCATTTGTAACATCAGTCATGATCAGTCCACTGCAGAATGAAGGACTCCCAAATTTTCCTAAAATCGAATGATCTGCCTAGCACTTGCACACACTGGCGGAGCCAGTGGGGGGGGGGGGGTGGGGTGGGGGTGGGGTGGCACATGCCCCCCCAATGATCCGATCGAAATGAGGGATTTCGATCGGCATTTTGCGACCCCCACTTCCACTGTGTAGCATATTATTACGTGCCAGGGACTCAATGAGATGATAGGACAATAGTCTGAGTCCATAATTGGCAATAAGTAACGGAAAAGCAGTTATAAGTGACTCACAAAATTATGCGCAGTTGCTTATACAGTACACGACTTCCCTGAAGGAATACCTTCAGCCAGCGCGATGCCGATCACACACGGTTCGAATTCGACCCTCGATCGATGGCTGTGCCATCGACGCACACGGGTCGAATTAAAAGCAAGAGACAAGTCCTTACTAACAACTCCTCGATCATTTTTCATTGCTGGAGGGGTTGCCCCCCCTACCTGAAAATCCTGGCTCCGCCATTGCTTGCACATGACCTGATTTCATTGCTCCATCTCCTTGGTGAACGTCCTCTCATATCCATTCCTATTCCTTGGTCGCCATTGTCTTTATTCTTCGGCCATCCTTTCCAGCAACGTGTCCTGCCCATGCCCTGATTGTTGTGCCACGTTCTCTGCTTTGTTATCATTCTGTTCCTAATCTTTCATTGTTGTGTATATATTTCCCTCTGCAAGTGAATGAAAATGCAATGATGCAATTATTTGTTTTCAAATCTGTTCATTGAATCGCCATTGACCGGCTGGTCACCTTTAACGATGAACCTCTCACGCCGCCACCCCTCAGCGGGAGCTGATCGTTGTCAACAAACCGTATGGCATCCCCGTGCACGGAGGTCCCGGGGTCGGCCGCAACAATGTGGCAGCCGTGCTACCCGTGCTGGAGCAGTTGTTAGATGGTCACCCCTCTCGCCGTCGCCACCGCAAAAACACCACGGCCGGCGACGACGCCACCGCATCAAAACTCCACCTGTGCCACCGGCTGGACCGCGACACGACGGGAGCGCTGGTGTTGGCCCGGAACGCCGAGGCAGCTGACGCCGTGGCCTCGTTGCTCAGGGAGCGGCGCGCCGAGCGCACTTACTGGGCCGTAACGGTGGGGGTGCCGCAGCCCGCCCGGGGCGTCGTAGACCTGCCCGTGGGCGAGCGCAAGCACGAGGGGCCCGACGGTGTCACCTACCGCATGGCCGTCATGCCGAGGTTCCACTACGTCGATGCCAGCAATGCCCTCGTGAAAAGTGCGTACTGGTCTTCTCTCTTTTTGTCATTCGTTATGTAACGACACGGGTGGGGAACGTTCGGAAACTAGCCATATTATCTAGGGCTGTCCCCGCTGAGGTACAAAAAACCCAGGACACATGCAAATAGAAATGTAAAACTACCAGAAGAAGGGATAACTACATGTAAATGCATTGTCTTCAGTGGTGTTTTATTACATAACTCACAGAAACCGGGGCATTTAATTTCCTGGGAAGATTTACAGATCTCGCCGCCTGTACCCATGTGTATCTTTATGTTTTTCACCCCCTGTACCCATGAGTATATGTGTGCGCGCGTGCATCACTCCGCCTGTACCCGTGTGTGTTTGTGTGCGTCTCTCAGGGCGACTGCCACGGGGAGCCCGGACGGCCGTGACGCAGTACCGCGTGTTGGCGGAGGGCGCGGAAGGCCGCAGTGCGCTGGTGGAGCTGAGGCCTCTCACGGGACACAAGCACCAGCTACGCGTGCACCTGGCGCTCGGGCTCGGCACCCCAGCGCTAGGAGACCACAAGTACTCGCCAAGGCGCCAAGGCCAGGGACTCGTGCCGCAGCGGCTGTCGCCAGCACTTCTGCGCAAGCTCGGACTCGCGTGAGGATCCCCTCTTGATTCACCACCTCACAGATTCGATCGTCGGTCACCATTCAAGGGCTGCGAATTGATTCCAGAATCAAGTCGTTTGTTTTTATCGTGAAACCCTCCACCACCCAACATAGGAAAGCAAATTCAAGTGCCACTTGTCCAAACGTTTAATATTCCGATTATCTTTCAGCCCACAGGTAAGTTGAAGAACAATTCGCGCAACCAAATTCAGCAATTGGATATCTATTTCGATTTAAAGCTTTCGTGACTGCAGGGTTTCATCTTCTGGGTTCTTTCGGTAAAGTCACGTAGAATGGGAATAATAATAATTATTATTAATAATTATTATTAATAATTATTATTAAGATGGTTATCTATTCTTACTGACCCCTTCCTCACCGCCCATCTCCCTCCGTCTCCTCTCCGTGTGTCGCAGGAGAAGTGGGCAGGAGCGGCCGGCGGCAGGAGCCGCGCGCCGCGTGCCCCTGCACCTCCACGCATGCCGCCTGGTGCTGCCGGGCCTGGGCCATGGCAGAGACCCCCTTGTGGTTCAGTGCCGCCCCCCGAAGCTCTTCATGCAGAGCCTCAAGAAGCTGGGCATCCAGCTCCCTGAGGCGGAGGAACAGGAGGAGACCTCCCAGTAGGGCCCCCCCCACAGTGTCCTCAGCATAAGTGGACATGTGCTATCAGTTGTGGGACGCGTGGAGTTTTCGACCTTTGGGCCTGCGCTCGGCCACCGTGACTAAAACATCGTACTGCCTGCATGGTCAAGTTGTGAACTCTTGCCAGGTGGTCGGGTGACTTGGAGGCCAGGGCGTGGCATCGGTAGTAGGGTGCAGAATGTTACATTCTACCCAGTTGTCTGGTGTAATGAGGATGAGTCCCCCACAAGACCCAGTCAGCACAGTTAAACATAATCATTAAATGGTTGCGGTGGCCGGATGGCTCAGAGGTCAGCACTGAGCCAGCAACCCCAAGAACCTGGGTTCAAATCCAAGATTTCAGCCACCTAGAATTAAACTGATTTCTCAGCTGTAGCAAGTTGATAATCTCAGCCCCATTAACCAATGATTTACACAGTCCCATTTGCAAAAAAATATTGGCTGAATTCCTGCTATGGAAATTGTAAAATAAATCTGCCATGCAACAATCATTTCCCAGGAGCAGTGTGTAAGAAAAGGGTGCCTCCTCGTGTGTGTGGATACAAGGTTCTTAAAGGGATCTTGGAAGTATGCCGAGCAAATTTTTTAAAGTCATTCTCTTGAACTGGGTGATGCACTGCTCACTGTGAAAATTCCAAGTGGATACTCCACCCCATAACATGCTGCCCATAGCACATTTGGAATTATATTGCGAAGTATAGACTTGTGCGTTCTGTTCATGGTGTCGTCGTGTGTTTACTATGCAAAAAATACAACTTTATACTTGAAGCTCGTGAATGGCTGTGTTTGGAGTTGTTTGATGGAGTCTGTGGGAACTGAAGTTGATTCAGATCCCTCCACGATTGCCCTTTTAATAGTTTGGAAAAATTAATACATTCATGTGGCTGCAAAAGGCCCATTGCCCGAAACGTCACCTGATACTTTCCTTTTAAGGCCACACTGTTATTGACAAATGTGTTTGAGTTTTCTTTTGGTTGGAACTATGGCACCGCGTGTAGTGACGATGAGTCGTCAGCCATGATCTGTCCAGTGCTGGATGAAGATTATTCGTCGGCGTGTAAAGGCTCTGCAATTAAATAGCGTTTTCCACATCTCATTATTTGTATCTGTAAATGGATCAACTATAAGTTGATCCCTCAACCTGACCCAAGGCCGATTGCAATCAGAATAATTTCTACCAGAGGAATCCGATAAGCTTTGAAGCTCTTTTTCACAGATTTTACGTTACAACGTTACAACAACGTTACAACAACACAACAAACACTACAAAAACACGCAAGGTAAACAAATCACTTTACTGTACTAGTAACGAATTAGCATGTTATGTCTACGTGACAAACCTTAACAATTGGCTGTATCGGGTGGTGGCGGGTTTAACGACACATTTACGAGATCTAACCCCAATAAAAACCTCTTAGAGGCCGTCCATAAATGACGTCACGCGATTTTTGACCACCCCCCTCGTCACACGGCGTCACAAAAAGTCAGACCCCCCCCCCCCTCAAATATGACGTCACAAAGCTCTGCCCCCCCCCCAAAAAAATAAAACATGCTTCAAATCGCTTTAAACTATTGTCATTGTAGTCCATATTTAATATGGCGCTGCACTCTGATGTAGGAGAAAACATTTATTAAAAAGTCTATTTAATTAAGTAAAACGTGTTGTCTATATTTATTTAAAGTTGCGCACTTTGATGTGACGTCACATTTCTCAACCCCCCCCCCTCGTCACACATCGTCACAAATGTCTGACCCCCCCGCCTAGGTGCGTGACGTCATTTATGGACGGCCCCTTATGGATGATATTGGTCCCCGAAAGCCGGCCACGTGTAACTACTACCACAGAGGCAACTTAGTTTGTAGACACCAGGGTACTGTATGTCCGGAATCACATCTTTTACAGACGGAACCAGATCGCATTACATAAAATCCGTGTCTCGGACCGCATCCGTGAACACAAAGCAGACCTTAAACACGGTAGGACCAACAACTCGGCCGTGGCAGATCACTGTTATAATTCAGTAGGCTCACATGACATTGACTTCTCCAAGAGAGAGGTTCTTTGTAAGCCATCTGGCTACCATGAGAGATTAGTTCATGAGGCTATCCACATATACAAGCACAGAGACAATTTCAACCGAGAAGATGGATTCTGGCTTAGCAATCATTGGAAGGATTTGATAAAACATTTCGGGTCTTAATTGATTGTTCACGCTTACGGTGGCTTTCAGACAGCATACATTAATTTTTCGTCTCCCCCCTCCTCTTTTCCGAACATAGATGGACTCGTCCATCTAAACAAACTGTCAAATCGCTATCCGTGGTGCTGACGTTTAAAAATAAATAAATAGCAACGAACCGCCACTTCTTTCAAATGTTCTTGCCGTTGGTTTTCACACCTGATGATGACTGCTTGTGTTGCAGTCGAAACGTCGTGAGAAGTTTATTGTTTTATATATATTATTGTTTTCCTTCAACGTGACTTTACCGAAAGAACCAAGAATATGAATCACGGCAGTCACGAAAGCTTTAAATCAAAAGTTTATTTTATCTTACTAGGTAAGGCCAACTAGATAATATTCCCTCCTTTAGCTTTGTTCGCACTTTAATTGGCAACACCGAGGGAGGAGGAGGGGGTGAGGAATTGTTCACTTCGTGAACTCTACGGAGTCGCTGCGCTGGAAAGTAAAACGCCACTTTAATAATGAAATAAGTCCCCGCGAGAGCCGCCGAGGCGCCGTAGCGGTGACGCGACGCCGCGTCACTCGCTGCGCCGGCCGCGTTCGTTCCTCGCTATAGCTGCAGCAGCTGCTGGTGGTGCTGGTGGTGGTGGTGCTGGTGCTGGTGGTGGTAGTGGTGGTGGTAGTGGTGGTGCTGTTGGTGGTGGTGCTGCTGGTGGTGGTGGTGCTGCTGGTGGTGGTGCTGGTGGTGGTGGTGCTGCTGGTGGTGGTGGTGGTGCTGCTGGTGGTGGTGGGGCTGGTGGTCCTGGTGGTGGTGGTGCTGCTGGTGGTGCTGCTGCTGCTGGTGGTGGTGCTGCTGGTGGCGGTGCTGCTGGTGGTGGTAGTGGTGGTGCTGGTGGTGGTGGTGCTGCTGGTGGTGGTGCTGCTGCTGGTGGTGGTAGTGCTGGTGGTGCTGCTGGTGGTGGTGGTGGGAGTCGTCCGAATCGTTAATGGAGTAAAGTTCGATCAAGTTTGACGCTCGACGACTAAACAATCGATGGTAAATCAAGGCGACCCTCCCCCGTCTGCAAGCAGAGAGAGTGAGAGCGAGGTGTTTCGCGAGGCCGAGAGACGCGGGTCGAGGCGACTCGGGAGGTGATCTGGGTTGGATTGTGGTCCCTGGTCCCCTCTCTCCTCCCTCGTCCCTAGGTCATCGGTTCCCTCTCCACTGGGAGTCCCCCCCCCCCCTCAAGTTACATTCTCTCGGAGTCTCTCTGCTTTCCCATCCCCTTTCTCGAATCAGGATCCATGTTGCTCCTCTCATACCGACTCGGGGTCCCCTCTCTCCTAGGACCCCGGTCATTTCCTATCCCATTTCAGGGAGTTTCCTTACCCTCACCTCGTGGCATTGACCCCTCTCTCCCAAGACCTTTGTGCCTTATCCCCTTTCTTAGCCCAGAGTCTCGGGTTCCCAATCCCCTCTCTCCTGCTACCCCCGTCTCCATTGCAGTACTGGGCTCTCTGCTCCCCTATTCCAACCCCTGTCCTTTAATCCCCTCTCTAGGGTCTCCTGACTACCTCTGCCTTCTCAGAGGCAATTAGGAGAGGACAGTACAGCAATGGATTCTTGGATCCGTCTGTGTAGAGCTCTGAGTGTTCACCCCTTATTGTGCGTGGTGGGTGTTTTTTTCTTGTGCCCCAGTTTCCGCACACATGTCACGTTTAAAGGAATTGGCTGCACATCTGAACAGGGCTTGAATGTCAGTTTACAAACAGGTAGTGGTAGGGCTTGCGGGGCTAGGTGGTGATCAGTAGAGGGCAGTCCAGCAAAACACGTTTGTACTGTACAGTACTTCTATTCTTCCACGTCTATCATGTTGTTGCAATGCCCACCGTAAAGGTTCTCAGGAAGCATTGTGTCAATGTGAATGGCTCTTGACCCCTCTTTCCCTCAAATAGTCATTGGGTAATTTTGTATTTGCGCCATCCTCGTAGCGCAAGGCTATCGTGAAGGCGCTACGTTACGCAGACGGGTATAGTAATCCAGTAGGGGACACAGGTGAAATGACACGTACATTGACACATGGCCCACTTGAATACATGTCACGTTATCTTTAACGGACGCTGCAGAACAGACGACGCTTAGTATTATGATTACTACACCTGCCGTATTAACCAAGGTGGCCTCTGGCCTCGAACCGCAAACCTCGGCGACGGGCGGCAGACACACTACCACTCGGCCTTGTCACCGTCCATTCTTGTGTTCTCAGGTTCCAAGTACCTCGCTCCAGGCTCCGAGGGGACCCTGAGGGACCCCGGGAACCCCGTTGACGGGCGGTGGAGGTGGTGGAGCCGAGAGGACGATGCACAGCTCGCTGGAGTTTGAGACGGAGCCGGTGCGCAAGTCGCCCATGATTCACGGCAAGGAGCAGACACGAGCATCCATGATGCAGATGGTGAGGGCTGCCTTCCTCACACCCGTGCATGCGTCTACATGGCCACTGTGCATGAGAATGAGGGACTTCAATTTATCGTCATCATCATCTCTGAAATTCACAGCGCCTTGCGCCATTCTCATCTCAATCTTTCCAGTGCCCTGCTGCAGTCCAGCCAAAGGGATATACCCACTGTGCTGCTCAATGTGTCACTTCTTCAGTCCCACTGCACCAGCCAATCACCTTCCAGGAAGATGACACTCATACAACGTGGTAACCATGAAGTCATTATTCAGTGCACTTCAGCCGGTGTGTAATGTCAATAATGTTAATGCTATTGACTTTATTGATTATTAATGTAATTGATTATGAAATGTTATTGGTCACGGTCGAATTGTGAGCCATCAGGACCGCTCTTAAAATGTATCGTAACTTTCCGACGCCCATTGTAGGCACTCATATTTACTTGGAGTCATGAAACAATATTGTCTTGAACCAAATGTAAGACATTGCTACGATGTTGTCAGTCAATACGTACCTTGGTCCCTGGTCTCTTGTCTGCAGGCTTCCATGGGCAGCCACTCTCCCAGCAGCCCGCTGTCTCCGCTGGCTGAGGTGGCAAGTGCCGCCCCCCCACTGCTCGCCGTGCTGGAGCCAGGGGTGGATGCCGACCTACCAGGGGGCCTCTCCCTCTTCCCCAGCCTTGACAGCGTGGCCGGCATGGCTGCCTCACACGAGCACGCCGACGGGTATGTGAGAGGGGGTCACAATCTGGCTTACAGACACCCGGCTTGGCTCACAGACACCTAGCCTGGCTCACAGACACCCTGCCAGGATCACAGGCGCCTGGCCACACCTGTCTCGCTTCGCCTACGCTCAACCCGTAAGGCAGCACATAACCTGGCTAATCAGACCGCCCTTTGTGTGGTACGATAATGGCAGGGACTCTCCAAATGATCCGCCCGAGAAGACCAACATGACGTGGCTGGATGCGGCACAGGTGAGCGAGCAGCACTCGTCTGTGTGACACCTCTTGGACGGCCTCCATTTCACCCATCTCCGTGGAAACAGTCCAGCTGCTGGGAATCCCAGCAACACAACAAAGGCATGGAAGCCACAATCTGCTGCCACGTGTCAACCATCTCCTGGCCGAACTTATCCTCACATAATTCAAAGTAACTGTTAGCATCATTGTGGTGAATATGAGCAACTAAATATGCAGACAATTCGTCTCTTTCATATTCCGGTTTCGACATACAGTATCTAATCAGAAAAAAACTCAAAACCACTCCAGAGTTTGCTGTTCTTGAGTCAATGCTGTTGAAAAAAATGCCCTCCCAGAAGGCAATGCGTGTGATGGGTTGTGTAAGTAATACTTATCGGTTTTGTTAATCTTAACATAGACCTGTGAGCTGCTATGCATCCTGAAATATCCAAGAAGAACACTTCACACCCTGAGCGTGGAAGCTCAGCCTCACGTGTATTGGACCGCAATTGACGTTATTTTTTGGAGACTTACTTTGATGTTCGTGTAAAGTGTTTGTTCAACACACTTTACACTTGTGTGTCTACGTGTGTGTGTGTGTGTGCACTGCGCTAAGAACTTGGCGACCCAGATTCGATTCCCACTCAAGGGCAACTCCAGTGACGAATGTTTGAACTGTCCTGGGTTTCCCCTATATCGACTCAGCCTCAAATGAGTACGTGGTGTGATGTGTAAACATCGCCACAGGGAAGACAAAGGCGGTCGGGGATGGTGCTGACCACCCACCCCCTCGTGAACCTTTTTAACCTTCATAGGTGCTACATGCAAACAGCACTTGCCCCAACAGTCTTTTAAGGCTACAGGAGGCATCTTTGTCTTTGTTTGTACAGCTGGTGCTGGAAGAGGCCGGGAAGCCTCTGCACATCAAGGAAATCAAGCAGCGCGTGCTGGAGGCCGGCCTTGTGCAGTCCAGGTCTCACCACACCGATGCATCACAGCACAGCCACACAGCAGCGCTGGTTCAGCCAACATGGCACGACCACACAAATGTCTCTATCTGTCTGGCCGTCTAGAATAAAAACGTATGCTTGTTAATTCGACTCTTTGTTTCACCCTCATTGCTACAGCTCAAAGTCAAGCCTGGAGGCAGTGATGTATAGAGAGGTGAGGAACACGGATGGTGGTTTTGGAAATGGTGATTATTGCCGTCGTACATCTTTGACCTCTTTTCCCCTGCACAACCGAGCCGTGCCAGGGCTGTGCCAAGCCAGCCCTGCGCAGCTCGGGATGCGCCAGGTTATTTTTTCTACTGCAGAACCCAAACCGTGCCGATAACGCCGCGTACATTGAACTAATCGAGTCGCATTTAGATGATGCTGTAGTGACACTGCGTCCTCACAGCGTTCTGCTTGACGTCACATGCAATGACTGTGTCATTGACCCCGCGCCTGGCCCAGCTTGTTTCCCAAACCACACGGTGAGGCCAGAGTTTCCATTGTTTCCCACACGGTTTGGTTCTGGCTCAGTTTGGAAAATAGTGGAAAAACACCCACCCGTTCACTGAGGGCCCGGCGCTAGTGTGGCTCAGATGTGCTTGTGGACAAGGAGTCTTTGTTTCCTGCTGCCCGCCATGCTTGGTGAGCACCCCCTGTCTTCGCATGTCATCAAATTCCAGACACAAAAGGGAAGTCGAAGGTTCAAGCGGATCGAGAACAGGAACGGGGTCTTTGCGCTGCTGGTGAGAACCGCTGCATGAAACCAGCACTGCTATCTTGTTATCGTTACACCTTTTTAGCTGTTTCAGGAAGGTTTTGCCAAGTTTTCACAGTAGCGGGCAATGATTGCCACTGTGTGTAATCCCAATTCAGTAATTATTACTCATTTATATTATAACTAGGTTGTTGGGGGGCCCCATAGGTTGTTCAGGGGCGCCTGCGGCACCCCCCAACAACCACAGTCTACGGCGGCCCCCAACAGGCTGGTCAAGTAAATCCTTACGATCCACTCGCACAGCGTGCGGTGGGCCTTCATCCAGCAGTGGATTTAAGCACCAAAAAAACTACAGTACTAATGTAATGAGAACCGTGTGTATATGTCCGTACGTAATAGATGTGTGTGTAGTGCACGTGTGTTTTACCGCCAAAAGTATTATTGAAAAGTGTTATTGTAGAGTACTGTAAAAAGAACGCCAACGGCTTTGCTGTACTTGAGGACTTCAATAAGTCGAATAAGAGCGGCTTTACGCGGCTTTCACTTAAAACTTTCACTCTACATATCTTTTTTGACGATCCCGCGATGTAACTTTAATGTAAATGAATGAAAATGTATTTAAACTTTAGTTGTGATATTTACATTAACTTCTAAGAGCTATGACTTATTAATCACTGAAAGAACTGTTAGGATTATTTGCAAGGTGTTATCTTAAGGGGTCTTAGGAAGTGTTGGGGGGGGTCCCCCTCCCCCTCAGCCCCCACCTCCGTCGGCCCGTGAGCGTGGTGGCAGATCAGCTGCCCACAGCGCCTTATTACGGCCCAACATCACCTGGTTGGCTGCTTGCTCGCGGTCACGTGACGCATTTCAACCATACTCTTTGGTTTTATTCGGTAAAGTCACGTAGATAAAATAAAACAAAATAAAAGAAAATTAAATCACGACGTTTCGGAGGCAACACAAGCTTCCGTCTTCAGGTGTAAAAGTCAACGCAGAATATCTGTGTCAGGAGCACAGTTCAGAGACAACAGGGATTATATACAGGTTAAGGGAGGGGGGAGGAGTCAGTAAGGGGGCGTGGGTGGGTGGGAGGGCTGGGTTTTAAGCAGCCTTTTGATAGGCTGCTGCGGGTAACAACCATTTCGCACTTCACGGGAGTGGGTAAAAAACCCACCTTTTGTTATGCTGCTGGCGTGAATGTGCAACCACCCCAGACGCCAGCCGAGCGGCAGCAGCAGCTCCTGCACTGCTACTCCGCCACCGCCGCCACGTGCGCCGGCAGGGCGTTTGCCCTGCCGGCGCTCCACACCTCGTCCCCCTCCACGGCGCCGGCCCGCCTGGCCCAAGCCTTGCCGGCACCCAACCCTCGCGGGGCGCCGTCCCCGTCGGCCTCCGCGTCGGCGTGCGTGACCGGCGGCGCCGGCGCCGTGGCGGTCTCGTCGTCCTCTCCTCGCACGGCGCTGTCTCCCGGCCGAGGCCTGGGCGGGCCGCCCCCCCTGGGCGGCGCGAGGGCCCCGCCGGGGGGGGGCGGCGGGGGGGGCGCGGGGCTGGGGGCCGGCGCGGCGGCGTCTCAGCGCAGCAAGGCGCGCCGGCTGGCGCGACGGAACGCCGTGAGCGAGCGCTACCGCATCAAGTACCAGCGCCTACGCCGCCTCGTGCGCACCACCATCTTCGTGAGTTGCTTGGCCCGGCATTAACGAATGCCGGCGCCAGCCACCAGATCGGTGTTCGACCAATATCTTAACTCACTTTACAGACACGTTGGGTATGTTTAATTCACGCGGGGGGTGGGGTGGGAGTAAGGTAAGCTCATGTTGTGTACCCGCTGTGTGTCAGGGCAAGTGGAGAGGAGCGGTGTGTATGTTTGTGTGTATGTTTGTGTGCATGTTTGTGTGGGGAGGTGGTAGTGTAGTGGTTTGCACAGTATGCTGCTAACCCCGCGACCCAAGTTCAATTTCCGACCATCACCAGTGACGAATATCTAAACTAGTCCCAGGTCCAATCTCAGAAAATCTGGTGCAGTGTGTAAACATCAGCATCGGAAGACAAAGGCAGCTGAGCGTGGCGCTGGCCGCAACACCACCACGTCTACTGTGCCGGCCTTCATAGGCGCTCTTTGACAGTACTGGCACCAATGGCTTATGGGCACTACATGGGGCGATCTTTGTTGTCTGTGCGCTTGTGTAGGAGAACGCGGCGCTGTGTGACGAGCTGGCTCGGGTGGAGGGATGCCTCGCTGGAGCCAAGGAGCAGAGGAGGTGCCCCTCGTGCCCACACACACGCCACTCGGCGTCAGCTGATCGGCCCAGACACACACGTGGGCAACAGCTGCATGAGCGAGTTTCAGCCGCAACGCGTTCGCCGCACGTTGCAGAGGTTCACTGTTCAAATCCAGCAGGCCACCCTGGTTATTACCGTGGTGTTTATTCACCATTTACGAAACGTCGACGTTCAAGATCCTGGGACACCATTGTAGACGAGTCAGCCATTGTGTGGCGGCGTCCTGGTCCAAATTTGCTAAATTATAAAATCTTAGCCGCAAATTACTCAATAGGGATTACACAAATCAGCAATTATTGCTCCCTACCAGAGACCGCTGCCTTTCCCCCACACTTTGCATGCCGGTAAACCTCGCACATTACCCCACACATTACCCCACACATTACCCCACACGTAGACTTTGCATGTGGGTAAACCTCGCACATTACCCCACACATTACCCCACACGTAGACTTTGCATGCAGGTAAACCTCGCACATTATCCCACACATTACCCCACACATTACCCCACACGTAGACTTTGCATGCGGGTAAACCTCGCACATTACGTAGACTTTGCATGCAGGTAAACCTCGCACATTACGTAGACTTTGCATGCAGGTAAACCTCGCACATTACGTAGACTTTGCATGCAGGTAAACCTCGCACATTACCCCACACATTACCCCACACGTAGACTTTGCAAGCGGGTAAACCTCGCACATTACGTAGACTTTGCATGCAGGTAAACCTCGCACATTACCCCACACATTACCCCACACGTAGACTTTGCATGCGGGTAAACCTCACACATTACCGTGCAGTTTTGCAGGGAAGGATACTAAAGTTTTCAAATCATGATTTTCAGATCATTTGAGCATTGAGCCATTTGTGCTTGTCTCCAGTTTACAGCCCTGAGCCAGTGGTGGAAATTACACATTCCTATGGTGGGGGTGAGTCTTTCCATACAAAAGTCACTGTTGATTTCCCCACAAGGTGGTACTTATCAATCCTGGAGAGATGATGAGCCCAGTAAACTCCCCAACGAGGAATTGAACTTGATTACGTTCCTACTGCAAGCCGCTCGCTCTGCCACCGCTCTAAGGCAGCGAGTCACAATTATTCATCGACTGAAATTGATTCTTACGCTCAGAATAAATGAAGAGATGTGTGATGTTAAAAGTACATTTAGTCAAGCGAAGCAAACCAAACACACAGTGGCGCAGTGGGAGTGGTGGTGCAGCGTTAAATTGCAGCTCATGGCCAACATCGGTGACTAATATCTGAACCAGTTCTGGACCTCTCCTTGGTCGACTTTGCCTTAAATAATGTTCAGGGTGTAAAACCTTGTTCGATGTGTAAAACAGAATTTGGAGACAAAGGCCGCCAGGCATGGTGCAGGCCACCCACCCGGTATTTCCTGTGTCAGCCTTAATAGTTGCACGCTAACAGCACTTTAACCCACAGCTACCTGGGGGATCTTTGTCTTTGTGAGTTTAGGGTGCTGTTGAAGCGCTTCCTGCAGTACCAGGCTCTGTATGAGGGCACCGACCCCGCAGCCTCGGCCTCCCCCACTGGGGTCACAGTGGGGGGCCCCGGGGCAGCAGCCCCCCCATCTGCTCACTCGCCCCCCACGACCGTCGGGCTTCCCCCAAGCGTCGCTACGACGGCAGCCGTCGTCCCGGCGCTGGATGACCCCCCTGCGAAGAAACCCAAGCGGGCAAAGAAGGAGCGGACGAAGGAGAGGAGCAGGGAGGATGACGAGAAGGGTGAGCGTCCATTCGGCTCTTCATCCAAGATTAATCCACTGCCTCCCAAGCCACGTGTGTCATCGGGGTTGTGTGATGGTACTTCACCACGCTGGTCGGGGTGTGTCGGCAAAGTGGGGTGATTGACACACGACCAGTTGAGATATCACTTTGCACTGATGTCAGGTGTGACCAGGAATCGAAATTAGGTCGCCAGGTTTCGCAGAACGGTCAGAAATCTACTGCATCACCGATCCACCCCGAAACACCTCGTGCCGAGGAAATGGCTGGATACGGCCCGCGGCCTTGTTTTACACGGCCCGTGGCCACATGAGACCCACCCCTTTTCTAAAGGGCCAACAAGTGATGTTTATCCAACGCTGCGAGCGTCTTATCGAGTGCTGGACAGGAATATTTTCAGACCTGGCAACAACTCAGTGTTTGTAAAGTTCGTGCCGCACTCAGTCCTGGTTGCCACTGCAAGGACTGAGTGAGGTGTGTTTGTTAATGTGTGGTTAGCCACCAGAGGTAATTGAAAGTCCTGTTTGGCCCCATAGTAAGAAATCATAGCCTAACCCCGTCATGGTGTAATTTTCAGCGAGCTGTCTGGTAACGGACCTTGAGGATTCTAAATCATTATACGCATTGTCATTATTTCGTGTTATGTATCATAGAGTCTTGCATCAAACTAAGACCTATATCTAGGAGAGAGTTTACTTCCCTATAAACATCAGCGTTGGTTTAAGTGAGCCTGACTGCTGGGGAGGCACTGAACGTTGAAACGGTCCAGAATGTTGCTTGTGTTGAACCATTGCTGCTGAAATTATGCACTCGAAGGAGGCAGTGTGGCTTATAGGTTGTTTAAGAATGTTTTTATTCCGCACCTCTGATGAGCATGGTTGGCCACGTACAATGCGAAAGCAGTTTACCATACATATGTAGAGAGATTGATATATACGAAGGAGACGTGGCTTGCATATTTTGTAAATCATTTTTTGTGTCATGACCCTGGGGCGGTTGGGAGGTTTGATGCAATCTGGTGGCTGCACGGAGCCTGAAGGCCTCCGGGAAGGCGGCACAGAGGCCGGTGGAGCGGAGGTTGCGTGGTGACCGAGGCGAAGGCTTGCCAACTCTTGAGTTTCAAAACAAGCGTGAATTGTCATGGGTAGAAGAAAATCCCACGAGACCTGAAAGTGTAGAGCTACATGTGAATGCATTGTCCTGAGTGGTGGTTCATTATTATTATTGTGCAACTTACAAACAACTGGGGCTTTGAATGTCCTGGGAATACTGACATATCCCAGCTGCCTCAAAAATAGAACAATGCTTGGAAAACCAGGACGGGTGGTAACCCTATCTCCCCTCTGCGTCTCTCTCATTGCGGCGGCCATGATTCAGGCTCGAAGGGGAAGGCCTCGAAGCGGAGGAAGGGCGGCGAGGGCCCCACGCGCCGCCTCGTGCAGCCGATCCCGCTCGACCAAATGGGCCGGCCAATCTTCCCCATCGCGCTCGGAGACCTGACCATCTACAGCCTCGGGGAGGTGCGGCCGCTCGCAAGGCCACGTGGCTCACTTACGCCTCCATTGTTTTGTTTTCTGGCTGTGCCGCATGTTGCTCGGCACGGGTGTCCGACGTTTCGTGCCACGTGCTTCGAGCTGCAGAGCCGAAGAAGCTGCCAGCACGTGTAGCGTACCGTCGGACATCGTGCCGAGTTAAACGCGGCACACCCCTAAAGCACGTCGGAAACTTACGCAACACAATCGACAAAACCTGCGCAGTAGAACTGATTACAGCTGCATGCACTCGGATTGGAACAATTCAACAAGTGACGTTGACTTTATTGACATTACTTTTTCCACAATTGTGCCCTGATTATGCTAGCATAGTCCAATCAGAAGTCTCGCAGAGCTGTGCAAACCTGAGTGTTAAAAGAACGGCCGGCAGAAGCGAATACGACAGAGCTTCCTCTTCTTCAAGCGAACTCCGTTAAAGACAGTAGGGGACAGCACTATTCCACCAGCCCTGCCACCCAGTCATGTTGGTCATGTGACACTCGTATCTTTAAGTCACAGAGATGGAATGTACACAAATGTAGTGGAGAACAACATTTAATGTGATGTTTTTTTTTGGGCAGCCATTGTTGACCTGGCTGTAGTGTTACTGTAGTGCTGTTTTGGCGAATGTTGTTCGTGTAATGTTTTTTTATATCTATAGTGTTATCAAAGTGTCAGCAGAGTATTATTGTATTATTGGTGAATGTTATTAGCGTAGTGTTATACCAGCATAGTGTTGGTCTAGTGCAGCGTTAGATCGCGTTCTTAGCCTCATATAATACCAGCATAGTGTTTAAGTGCAGCGTTACCTTGCGTAGAGTTGTTACATTGCCGCGGGTTGGCTTGTCGTGGTCGTGGACCTGCGTCTCCGTCGTGCTTTTAGATCATCACAGACCGGCCGGGCTTCCACGACGAGGGCCACATCTACCCCGTGGGCTTCTGCAGCACGCGGACGGCGGGCAGCCTGCGCCACTGTGAGCTCACCTGCCTCTACACCTGCCAGATCAAGGACGGTGGCTTTGGGCCCCAGGTGAGGTGCACTCCGGCTTCTAAAGGTAGAGAGGCAACAATGTTAACATGTAAAGTTTCATAACTCCGCGCCGCAGAGCTTTATTATATTCAGAGGTGCAGGAAACCACAGAGAAGCGTTAAGGCAGCCAGAACCCGGCGCCACGAAATAAGTTGTGGCCCAAGAATGGGATCTTTGGCCAACTCTGTTGTACGTGTGGGAGGAAACCGCGGTCTCCGGAGAAAACCCACACACTCTTGTGAAAGAGGGAACACTCAATCCCCATGCAATGGAAACAGAGGTGAAGCTACTTTCTGTACCATCACCTCCTGGCGAGCCAGCGTTAGCTAGCGTTGTAAGCTTTGTGTTATCTCCCGGTGACCCAGAGATGGCGACTTTGTAAAGCGCCCTGAGGAGCCTTAACAAATAAGGATATTGCGATTGGTTATTTTGGTTGCTGTGGTTGTTGTGTGGGATGCACGTGCATGCTGACGTGTGTGGGTCGTGCCCCCCCCTGCTACCGCCTCCCCATCGCCGGGCTGGCGTTAGTTCGAGATAGTGCCGGAGGACGACCCCCAAAACCCGATCGTGGCGTCGTCGGCGTCGGCATGCTACGCCAACCTGATGAGAGCCACACTCGCCGCACGGTAACGATCACACGCACGCTCACCACCCTTGTGTGTGTCGGTGAATACACACACAACAAAGATTCCCCGAATATCCTGAGCAGACTGTTGGGGCAAGTGCTGTTTGTGAGTAGCACCTATGAAGGTCGGCACGGCACACGAGAGGGTGGGTGGCCAGCAACACTCCTGGCCACCTTTGTCTTCCCAGTGGCGATGTCTACACACCGCACGGGGTACTCATTTGAGGCTTAGTCGACCTAGGGGAGGCCCAGGACGGGCTCAGATAATCGTCACTAGGGTTGGCTGTGAGCGGAAATCGACCTAGTATTGTGCTAACCACTACACTCCCCACTCACACACACACTCGCTTACACACTCATGAACACTCACACGCTCATTTATGCATTCACTCGCACATACGAATGCTCGCTCGCGCACATGCTGTCCCCAGGTCACGCGGCAAGGAGCCCCTGCCCCCTCCTCCCGTCTCACATCTGCCGTCCTTTACCCGTGTTCCCTGGGACAGAGGGAAATCCGTTCCTGCCGTGAGCTCCTCCGGACCGGAGTTCTTTGGCTTCTCACACCCGTCCGTGCAGCACCTCATCCAGAGCTGCCCCGGCGCACGCAAGTGCAGCAGGTCAGAAAGATCGATCCCGCCCCCTCGCTCGCAGCTCCATTCTTCGTCTCGGCCACTTCCGAGTCTTTCCGCAACGCTTCCTGCGCAAGCCCACTTAGCATTTCTTGACTGATCAGTGCGGTGAGGTACGGTCATGTATCTTTTCTCCCGCGGTGGTGGCGCAACGTGAAATGCAGTCTGCGTGCCGCAGTAAACGCGTGCCCTGCTAGAGATGTGCCGAGACTCACGTGGGTCAAGTCAGTGATTGAGAAACTTTGCAATCGGTGATGGTGACAGAACAAGTGAGAGAAAGTTGAAACGGTGCCTAGGTTCATCATAATGGTCATGATTCGTTTTTGGTAGAGCCGTCCACATTTACGTCGAGGCTTTTCAGAACGCTTTGCATCTCATCGCAACACATTTTTAAAAGGGCATCCCCTAGTGGCAGCTATCCCTGACCTGCAAACGGGCATTAGTCTGCCAATAGGGGCCATGATTACCACCTGTAATCCCATGTGAGTGAATTGTTAACACGTTAAACAATTCTAGATTTGAAGCTTTCGTAACTGCAAGGATCCATACTCTTTGGTTCTATTCGGTAAAGTCACGTAGGTAAAAAATAAAACAACAAAAATCACGAAGTTTCGGCCACAACACAAGTGGCCTTCATCAGGTGAAGGGACCGGACTGTCCAGATTTGAAGCTTTCGTAACTGCAAGGATCCATACTCTTTGGTTCTATTCGGTAAAGTCACGTAGGTAAAAAATAAAACAACAAAAATCACGAAGTTTCGGCCACAACACAAGTGGCCTACATCAGGTGAAGGGACCAGACTGTCCAGAGGACAGCGTTGGAGTGAAGACAGCCAAGCCCAGGTCGCGTCCTTTAAGCTGTGTGGGAGGAAACAAAAAACGCCTTGACAAAGGAATTAGCATAACAATGATGTAGTGGACCGGCACGGTGGGGGGGGGGGGAGTTTACATAATGTTGGTGTGAAGGGAAATAAGCTGCTGTGAAAGTTTGGCAGCTTATTACCAACATGTAAACTCCCCCCCCCCCATGCCGGTCCACTACATCATTTTATGCTAATTGCTTTGTCAAGGCGTTTTTTGTTTCCTCCCACACAGCTTGAAGGACGCGACCTGGGCTTGGCTGTCTTCACTCCAACGCTGTCCTCTGGACAACACGGTCCCTTCACCTGATGAAGGCCACTTGTGTTGTGGCAGAAACGTCGTGATTTTTGTTGTTTTACTTTTTTACCTACGTGACTTTACCGAATAGAACCAGAGAGTACGTTAAACAATAGCTGGGTATATATATATTGCCACTCTAGCCATTATATCCTGAATTCATTCAGAGCTGGTTCTGGTAGCCTTTGTTCACATTATGATTTGTATCAAATGGAATGCTGTGATATGGGGTGGAGTGGTGGCGCAGTAGTTAGCACAACGAACCCAGCGACCAGAGTTCCACCGCATTTTGTGTCTGACGTTGCTTCCCCGAGGTCAGGCGTCGGCAACCTGCTGCTCCGGCACCTCATGCGGCGCTTCGTGACGACACCACCTTCTCGTTTTCACACGGTGCATTGTGGCTCTTGAAATAGAGTTGTTGCCGAATTCGAAAAAAAATTACCTTGTTGATATTTTTATTGCCGACCCCTGCCCTAAGTCAATATAGTCTGGTGCGGTGTGTAAACATCAGCACTTTGGGATACAAGGACAGCTGGGCATGGTGCTGGCCACCCACACACGCGTCTGTAGTGCCAGCCCTCGGCTGCTCACTAACAACACTTGCCCCAATAGTGTGTTAAGGTTATACGGGGGGTCTTTGTCTTCATGGCGTGTTGCCGCAGCTATAAGTGGGTGCGGTTCGAGGTGTGTCGGGCGAGCCCGGGGGCTCGGAGCTCTGGAAGCAGCCGCCCGGCGGGGGGCATGCGGACCTTGGGGGTCCCCCCACAGGAGAGGGAGGAGGGGGAGATCACCACTCATGGTGAGCGCCCACGCATGAACCCCCCACACCACCACGACAGACGCACAAACACACCCCCCCACTCATCTGCAGTCATGTTCATTCTGCTCTCTGTACTCTTCTCGCTCCAGCGAGCCACATAAGGGCTGGGCTGTGCTCTACTAATTACCGCTTCGATTAGTCCACTGATCGGGTAACGATCCAGTCGAGTAATCGAAGCGGTGATGCGCTGCACACACACACACACACGTGGGCCGGCCAGTGGTATTGATTGGGCATGGGGTGGGGGAGCACTCATCAATAAGGTTGAGGAGCACTGCTCTGGACCGTGATCTCTGATGTCGGCCTCTCCCCGTCCGTTCTCCCGGCACTGACTGCTGCTGCTGCTCAGTGGGTGCAAGCATGCGGCTTCACGTGAGCGCAGAGGACTCCATCAGCAGCCTGCGCTCGCTGCTTGCCACGGCGGGACACAGCACAGCCCTGCTGTGTAGTAAGCCATCTCACTCGCGCACACGCACTCACACACTCGCCCGGCTCACACACTCGCCCAGCTCACACACACACTCGCCCATTCATACTCTCGCATACACGCACTCACACTCAAACCCACTCGCACACGTGAACTCACTGACTCACCCATCTCACTCGCATGCGCTCGCCGATCTCGCTCGCACATGCTGTGAGCGAGCAGCTCCGTAAGCCCCCATGGCACACGATGCTGTGGGTGGCCAACACTATGTCCAGCAGCCTTGGTCTCCCCCCAGTGCTGATGTTTTACACACCAAATCAGGTTCTCATTTATGGCCGAGTTGACCAATTAAGATATTCGACGCTGGTGTTGGCCATGAGCGGGAATCGAACTCAAGTTCTGAGTACAGTGTATGCATCCGCTCCTGCATACATGCAGTGCATACACATGTACACATTCACACATATCACCATCATTATCAGCTATGTTCTTCCCGCTGCTGCACATGAGCCGATCTCATTGCTGCACCTCCCACCTTCGTCATCCTCTTGCGTGTGATCCATGCCCTGCCCGACACTCCCTTTCCTTGTCACTGTAATTCCTGATTTGTGTAAATTGTTCTCCAATCCATGTTCCTCAGGCAATTTAATTCCAAGCATGCATTTATCTGTGGTCCATTGAACACTGTTCATTGTGTTTACATTTCTTTGAGTTTTTTCTGGGTTCATATTCTTGGTTCTTTCGGTAAAGTCATGTAGAAGGGAAACAATAAAATAGTAAAAATATAAAACAATAAAATTCTCACGAAAGCTTTAAATCAAAATGTAGTTTCTGGGTCTCAAATCCATGTGTCATAGTGGATAACGTGCACGGTGCACCGATTGAAAATGTTCCTCTTTTGGCAAATTGTTATGTTGATTTAACTATCAAGTTCAATATTTACACGTGTAAATAAGTACACAAACACATGCAACTCCGATCATCAGGATCGTAGTGCAGTGTGCTAACCACTACTGCCGCTTCACCAAATTCAAAGACGCACTTTTCAAAATCCTCTGGCACCACAACACACAGTTGCACCCACTGCCATCCAGCCACCACACATCCCTGCACATGGGAAGTGTAAATATTCACACCGTATCCCCCCCTCCGTGTCACCCCTCCCCCAGTGACTCCCTCGAGCCAGCCCCCCCCCTCCCCCCAGCGCCACCCTCCCTCCTCCTCCCCTCGGGTCTTCGCTCCGGCCAAGCCCAGCGAGTGAGCGGTCACCAAGACGATGGTGAGTGGGTGACATCAACGCCTGCCTCATCTGGACCCTCCTCCTCCCCTTGAGACTGGGGACGCATTTGCGTCAGAGGACTCGCCTGTCTCACGTGGGAGACACACCCACTCACCTGTCTCATTCGGAGGTGCACCTGGACACGCCTCGCCTGGACACGCGTCGCCTGGGGGAGACTCACCCACCCACCTGTCTCGTGTTGTCCAAGCCTCTTCATCCGTCTCACCTGGGAGACCCACCGGGAAGACCCACTCACCAGCTCCCTCTCCGCCTGCTACCTGGAGGACCCTCTCTATACACCCCCCCTGTGACCCCCTCAGCATCTCAGGTTTCCATCTTGAAAGTTCTTCACCGAGTCCCTATTACCCCCATCCTGACAGCGCTATGGACTCGTGCTGGTGAATGGGGTGAGGGACAAACACCCTCTGCACGCCCACATTGTATTTTATTGCTGCGTCCTGTGGGAAGCCGGCGAATGCACACAGCGACGCTGCCGGGAGCGGAGCGGCAGCTGCGATCTCAGTTCCAGACGAGGGCTCGAGTGATGTTGCGTGGGCACCGATGCTGTCTCGATATGATCGTTCACGATACGATACCAAACTTCATTGCGTGACGATTACAATAAAACAATTTAGAACGTACGCATTTTCACCAAAAGTCAAATTTCCAGTCGGGACCGAGAGGTGCGCAGCCAGGACCCGGGTTCCTCGTACGCCAGATGAAACGGAGGACCAGCCTCAATATGTCTCTGAATAATGGTGCAGGACGAAACGCTGGCGCATGCGTGTAGTGGGGTGCGATCGCACCAGGACAGGGTCGTGGCTTGGGGGACGGCGAGCGAGCGGAGGCCACCGTGGCAGGGGGTTGACTTGAGGCCTGTGTTTTCCATAACTCTAATTATTACGATGCTCATTTACCCAGGAATGCCTTGTAAGGAGGGTCCTGCCGTGTTTTTTGCAGGAGTGGGGGCGATGTTGCTATTTAAACCCATTTGAAGTTCATTTTTCAGCAATGGGATGTTTGTCCAATACCAGTTACAAGTTTTTTAGTTTGCATTTCAGTATTGTATTGTTTGTGCTTTGATGTACTTTAAGTATCCACAGATTACTTTAAGGTTCACTTCACATAATCCTGCCACGAGTCTTACAAGCATTGCGACTTTACAACTGATCTGGTGAGCATACAACGCACGTGCTACCAGTTGCAACAAAATAGTGAATTAACTATGAAACTGATCACGTAGCTGCCGTGCACCAACTTCAGAAGTTGATTTGGAAAGCACTAATTTAATGGGTAACACCTATCACGATGTTACAAAAATATTTAATCAGGATAATATGTTTTTAAAGAAAATAGTGGTATTCACATTGGTATGAGGATGCGGTTATCGTGGATCTTATATCGTACGATGTGTCAAAGTATCGCCACATGGAAACTCTAGCAAGTAATCATACTTGTGTGCACAAAGCTATGCAGCCAGCAACAAACGGCACTATGGAAGTTATAATAGGTAAAGTTAGCATGTTTCCTGAATTGAGCAAGATTATTATAATGATTAAGAGCTTCAGAAAGAGACGATGGCAGGGAATTCCAAATTGGAGCAGCGCAAGGCAAGAAGCGACGAGAGAAGCGTGACCGGCGGTGGGGGGAGCTAGTGAGTTGTCAGCTGCAGTGGGGTGGGTAGTTGAGCACAGTGCGTAGGGGATTAAACGGTCCGTTTAAGTAGACCAAGCCCTCAACATGGGAGGAGGAATCACGGAGTGAACAGTACCCTGGTGTTCACAGGAACAGTCAGGTGCACACACCGAGACCACACCTGTGTGTCAACACTGCTTGCGATGTCATGTGTCCAGTCATGGCGCGGTGAATCCACGGACTGCGAGATGGGAACGTGTGTGAGTGAAGCCGCAAGCAGCTCCAACACCCGACCTCACGCCACACTCATATCAGACCACATTGACTTCCGCTCCTGGCTAACACCAGTGACGATTTTATGAATCGGTCCTGGGCCACCCCTAGGTAGACTCGGCCTCAAATGGGTACCTGCTGCAGTGTGTAAACATTGCCACTGGGGAGACGAAGGCGGTCGGGTGTGGTGGTGGTCACCCACCCGTTTGTGCCGTGCCAGACTTTGTACGGTGCTCGCTAACAGCACTTGCCCCAAGTCTGTTAAAGGCGATATGGGGTGGGAAGGGGGTCTTGTCTCAGTGGCGATCTTGCACGAAACGCAGTGGGCAGCGGTTTGTTGTGAACTTTGATATAAAGCAAAAAACATGGTTTCATAAAGTTCTAATATCGATTTTTTTTTGTCAGGTGAAAAACACTTATTTTTTTTTGTTTCTGGGTAATGTTATTTCCTAATTGCTTATGCCTCACAAGTACAGAAAATGGCTATTCCCCACAAACTTTGCTTTTGTGACCAGGACAGTGATATTTAGAAATTTACTTATTTTCCAAAACATTCCAGACAGATTCAGTGCTGAGTAAACTTGAAGTAAATTCTAGAACATTCCAGTAATATAGATAGTAGTATAAATACAGGGGCCTTAAGCCCACCAGTTCAGTTTAGTTCCAGCTGCCTAAGTGGATACATATCTGCATTTTTCTGAGATGGCATCAAGAGGCTGCAAGCATCCACCAGACGCATGTTGCTTTGTCTGCGGCCAATTTATCAAGACGAGTGAAAAAGTACTCTGTGGAAGCATCTGTTAAGATGTGTGAGGCCTCCAAGGAATATTTCAGCATGCCTGTCAGGGATCAAAACAAACCCTGGCCACCTCATTTCACCTGCGAGCAATGCAACAAAAACTCTGGAAGGTAAGATGCACAATTGTTGCTCGGAATTTTGTTATAAAATGTTATTTTTTTTAAATTGTAAAAGTTTAATTTTCAAATATTTTACAATTTTCAATGTTATTGAAAAAATACATGAAAAATTTTGCGAGAATCTCTTACACATTAGTCATGAGTGAAATAAATTATTTTTTGTAGGATGGTACAGAGGGGGAAAGAGAGCCATGAAGTGCACTGTCCCCAAGAATTTGGCAGGAACCCACTGACCACTCAAGCAACTGCTACTTTGGCATGGTGGACCCTTCCAAACGTCGGACTGGCAAGAATGCACCTATCATCACGTATCCGGACCTTCATCGCCCCGGTGCCACACTGCCATGAGCTCCCTGTACCCACTCCTTTGGAGAGAGCAGCTGTCCTTGGAAGAGAGCAGCGAGTCAGAGCGAGGAAGACGTAGATCAAGATGACATTCAGAGGTAGAGCTGAGGAGAGAAACCCATACTACCCCAACCAAAAAGACCAACGATTTGATCAGAGATCTTAATCTCACCAAGTCCAATGCCGAGCTTTTGACATCTTGGCTCAAGCAGTGGAACTTTTGGATGAAAGTGTGCAAGTTGCAGATTAGAGGAAGCGTCACCAACCTTTTTGCAGCTTCTTCACCCGTCAAGATGGGCTCTGCTTCTGCCACAATGTGACCAGTCTGTTCGAGGCAATCGGAATCGCCTGTAACCAGAATGAGTGGCGCCTCTTCATTGACAGCTCATCCAGGAGCTTCAAAGCCGTGTTGCTCCATAATGGTAACAAGTACCCGTCTCTTCCCCTGGCTCACTCGGTGCACCTCAAAGAGGATTACGGATTATTTTTATAATTTTTCTATCTACGTGGCTTTACCGAAAGACCCAAAGAATATGAATTCCTGCAGTCACGAAACAACAGCATCAAGACCTTGCTGGACGCCTTGAAGGATGAGTACAGCCGGGAGGTCATCGGAGACTTCAAAATGGTGGCATTCCTGATGGCTCTCCAAGGCGGTTTTACAAAATTTCCTGCTATGGGACAGCAGGGACACCAAGGCGCACTACCACAGGCAGGACTGGTCATAGTGGACCGAGTCCTCTGTGGGGAGGAACAGTCAAGTGGCAGGTGCTGATGCCACCACTGCACATCAAATTGGGCATTATGAAACAATTTGTCAGAGCTGTAGATAAGGAGTCTGCAGCCTTAAAGTACCTTAAAAACTTCTTCCCTAAGCTGTCTGAGGCAAAGGTCAAAGCCTGTGCCTTCATCGGACCACAGATGAAGATCCTGGAGTGCAATGAATTTCCCAAGAAGCTCACTAGTAAGGAGAAAGTGGCTTGGAACAGCTTTGTCGCAGTGGTTCGTGGCTTCCTGGGCAATAACAAGGTCGAAAACTGTGTGGAGCTGGTTGAGACTGATGAAGAACTATGGCACAATGGGCTGTAGGATGTCCCTCAAAGTCCATATCCTTCATGCTCATCTTGATAAATTCAAGGAGAACATGGGAGTGTACTTGGAGGAGCAAGGCGAGCTCTTCCACCAGAATATACTGGACTTTGAACGCCGCTACCAAGGACAGTAGAACGAGAACATGATGGGAAACTACATTTGGGGGCTGATTCGTGAAAGTGATTTACAGTATAATCGTAAATCTCGAAAAACTACTCTTCTAAATCATTTGTACTCATTTTTGTATACTTTAGTATAAATACATGTTAATTTTGATTGATGTTTTTTTATGACTTTATGTAAACGAAAATACACAAATTCGCCCGCTTTCTCATTGAAAATAGGTACATTTCTAAATATCACTGTCCTGGTCGCAAAAGCAAAGTTTGTGGGGAATAATAGCCATTTTCTATACTTTTTAGGCATAAGCAATTATGAAATAACACTTACTACCCAGGATATTTTTTTTTATATATATATAGTGAAATCATTGGAGAGGATTCCCACTTTCCTTTTTTACATATATATAAACAGTTCACCTAAACACAGCAGAGGAATTCACCTTTTATTGAAAAATAAAGCTTAAAAAAGGTATGGCTCTGTCCAAAAACATAGAATGTTAGCATGCCCAGTTTTTGGGCAAAAATAATTGTGAAATGTTCCACTTTAAGGTGCAGCATGGTGGACTTAGAGAAACGGAGCGATGACTGCAATGCAGAATGAGGTTTGTGTACCAAATCTAAGTGGGATATCTATGAATGGATCGCCCTGTATATGTACAATGTGTCCATAAAAAAAAAACTTCCTCCGGTGATGATCAGATGCAAAACTAAACTTTACCCATCCCCTCCTGTAGCACAGGGGACCCGACACTATCCAAACAACGAGACCCCCTAGGACCCCAGCGATCATTAAACTTAAAATGTTAATAACAATCACAAGTCAATAATTATAATAAGCGCAATACCCAGTGAGATTTCCCAGCCCTTCAGAGTAACAATACATAGTCTCATGCAGATGAAGCAAAGGGTTTGGGTACCACAAAGGCTTTTAGGGGTAGAGGTAGGGCTAGGTTAGAGTTGAAGATAGGGTTTGTTCCCTGACACTGCTTCGGGGGGTCCCCTTGCACCACAAACCCCGTACCGTTAACAGAGCCGACAGCCAGGCTACGAGTTATACACAAAACCGCGAGTACATCTTATACATGTTCTATGTTGCATACGCGTTACATATACAAGTGGAATTAAAATCTCCACAACCACCCTCATCCCCACCACCACATACCCTTTTCCAAACACAGGGGATTCGAAACGCGTCAAATGTTTGGAAGTGGTTGGGAATGTAACAAACACGCATTTGCACCGACGCACACACACGTGTAACTCAAAAGACAAAGATCCCCTTTATTGCCTTAAAAGACTGTTGGAGCAAGTGCTGTCAGTGAGCACCTATGACAGCCAGCACGGCACACTATGGGGACCGGTGGCCACCACCACGCCCGGCTGCCTTTGTCTCCCTCGTGGCGATGTTTACACATCCCGCCGGCTACTTATTTTAGGCCAAGTCAACCTAGGGGAGGGCCAGGTTCAGTTCAGATAATCATCACCAGTGTTGGCCGCTAGCGGAAATCGAACTCGGTCGTCGGGTTTTTAGTGCAGCGCACTAGCCACTCGACAACCGCACGCATCGGTGCACGCACACACTGCATGTGCACCCCCATGCGTGTATGCTCAACATCACACCCGCACACAAGCATGGACGCACACACTAATACACACGTGTAGAAGTTCACACACTCACACCCATGCACAACTCTGCACATACACAATAAAACAATCACAAGCATCTCTGGGCAGCTGCCTGCACAGAATGGTAACTTCCCCTCTCCATGTATTCATCGTTGGATGCAGTGGCCAGGTGGCTCGGAGGGTCAATGCATTGAGCCGGCATCACTGAGAAAATAGATTCTGACAGTTGATGGTCTCAGCCAGGCCACAAATTATTGCGGACAAAATAAATCAAATAAAATGTGTTCAGGACTTAATTTGGCAAGGTTCCAGCTCTGAGAATCACAAAGCGCAGTTTGACCGTCATGCACCGCCCTGCAAACGTTCTGCATGGATTCTCCATCTCATGGGCATGCCATGTTTATTTGGGTAAATATTTGTGTTTTGTAATCACAAGGACAAAGACCCCCCCCCCCCCCCCCCCCCGTATAGCCTGAATAGACTTTTGGGGCAAGTGCTGTTGGCGTGCACCTATGAAGGCCGGCACGGCACACGAGAGGGTGGGTGGCCAGCACCATGCCCAACCATCTTTGTCTTCCCATGTGGCGACGCAGCGCACTTATCGCTGCGCCATGGCTCCCCACACACGCGCACACATACGCACGCACACACGGATCTAAAAATCACACGCAGGCACAAACCTCTCCAACACCCCTCGGTGACTTGACACCTCCCGACCCCCGTCACACGAGGGTAAAGTCCCGACTGCTCCCCGCGCCGTTGCGGGCAGGTGCCGCGTACCCATTAGGGGGCTCCCCGGACCCCCCGCGCGAGGACTCCGGCGAAACCCCCGAACGCAGGACGATCCCCCCGCCCCCTCTTCCCGCCGTGCCCTGCTGGGCCCCGGAGTACCCGGGGTACCCCAGCATGGAGCCCCCCGCGCCGCCGCCGCCGCCGCCCCCCGCTCTGCCGTTGCTCCCCATCGACTCGGGGATGGTGGAGAGACGGACGTCGCCCGCGGCGACGGCGTGACCCGGGCCCGGCCCAAACGAGACGGTAGGGCCTCCTCGCCTGGAGGTGGTGGCGGCGATGGGGGTGGCGGCGCCAGTGGTGGAGGAGCGCACGGAGCTCTGGGCGGAGCCGTGGGCCGCGTGGAGCGCGGACTTGGAGGCGGCGACGGAGGAACGGTTCGAGGTGCGGCTGGAAGGACGCAGGCCCAGGGCGGAGCGGATGGAGCCGGCGAAGAGCGGGTTGTAGCGCGGCGGGTGGCACGAGTAGGTGGTGTAGCGGTCGGGCGGCATCGCCGACACCATGGAGGAGCGCACGCTGCCGGACGCGGAGCGCGGAGCCGCCACGTCCTCACTGCGCACACAGAGCCCAACTGAACCGTTAGCAGATTGCTACTAAAAGCAGTTGCACCGTTCAATTCCGTTCGTCCAGGCGAGTAGAATTCAATCACATTTATTCGATGCGACGTTTCTTACGGGATATAACAGGTCCCTGCAGGGTGGGCTGGTAGGACAAGTCTCTGCGCTGTCTATTGCTGATTTTACACCCAACAGCACGAGATTTCACTTCATTAAAGTATTGAAAGGGGACGGACGGACGGACACATTAATCTATTGCAGGCTGGTACACTCAGTATTGTGCAAATTGAGAGCGTCTTCCCACCTTTTTGCCCTCAAAATCGTTGAGGGTTCTTCGGACAAATTAACCTCTGTAGAGGAATGGAATGGTGAAATCCTTATTGACTGAAATCTGCTCATTTTGGAGCAATGTATCATAAAATCGTTAAGGGCTGGGCCGAAAAATGACAACAATTGCATTTTAAAATGAGGAATTGTTTCCCGGTATACGGGAGTATGGGGCTTTTGAAAGGGGACAGACGGACGGACACATTAATCTATTGCAGGCTGGTACACTCAGTTTACAACTTCGTTCCTACCAGTATTAAGTGACGCATATATAGACACGCACACACATAGACACGCACACACATATACACACACACAGCCTGTTGGGGCAAGTGCTGTTAGCGAGCACCTATGAAGGCCGGCACGGCACACGAGGGGGTGGGTGGCCAGCACCACGCACGACTGCCTTTCTCTCCCTAGTGGCAATGATTACACACCGTACCAGGTACTAATTTGAGACTGAGTCGACCGAGGAGGGGCCCAGGAATGGTTCAGGTAATCGTCACCTGTTCTTAGCCATGAGCGGGAATCGAACTCGGGTCACCGGGTTGATAGCGCAGCCCGCTAACCGCGACACGAGCGCTCCCCACACGTGCGTGCCCCATGCCTACGCGGTGTCGCGTCTCACTGGATTTCGTTCATGATCTCCTCCTCCTCGCGCCGCTTGCGTCTCCGCCGGCAGCAGCAACAGCAGCAGAGGAGAAGCAGCAGCAGCAACGCCAGCAGCGCCAGCGCCCCAAGCACGATACCAGCGATGGCACCGGCGCTGAGAGTTCCTGCACAGACACAACACGGCCCCCCCTCACCACGTCACGAATGGGTGATGGTGTTGGTGTTGGTTACGGCATTGGTGATGTTAGGGATGCAGTGTGCGCGATGGTGAGTGATGGTAATGGTGGCGATGGTGGCACTCACTGTTAGTGATGGCCACAGCCATGACGCACGTCTCGGAGCCGACGCGGTTCTGTGCGGTGCAGCGGTACGTGCCACTGTCATCCTGCGTCAGGTTCCGCAGCATCAGCGTCCCCAGCACGGCATCTACAGCAACGTCGACATCAATAGCATCAACATCATCCTCAATATCCTCAACCTCGACATTATCATCGTCAACAATCGTGATCTCCATCTATCCCATGCCTGTGTGCCTCCCTGTATCACCGTGTCTCCCCGTGCCCCTGCATGTCTCCCTGTGCCCCCACATCCCTACGTCCGTGGTCCCTGTGTCTCCCCGTGTCTCCGTGTCTCTCCTTGTCTTCGCGTATCTCCCCATGTCTCCCCATGTCTCTCCTTGTCCCCAGATGTCTCTGTGTGTCCCCGCATATCTCCCCATGTCTCCCCGCATCTGCCCGCGTCTGCCCGTGTCTCCGCGTGTCTCCGCGTGTTTCCGTCCCCGTGTCCCCGTACCCGCCGTGGCCTTGGCTGGCAGGGCCCCGCCGACGCGCTCCCACACATAGAGGAGCGGCGAGGAACCCGCGGAGGAGGCGCAGGACAGCGTCACATCCTTCCCCAGCTCCGAGGCCCCCGCCGTTGTGCACGTAGGTGCCGTGGGCCGCGCTGCACACACACAGGTACATGGGCACACAAAGACAAAGATCCCCCATAACGCCTTAACAGATTGTTGGGGCAAGTGCTGTTAGCGAGTAGCACCTATAAAGGTCGGCACAGGACACGAGGGGGTGGGTGGGTGGCCAGCACCACGCGCGACTGGCTTTGTCTTCCCAGTGGCGATGTTTACAAATCGCATCAGGTACTCATTTGAGGCCGAGTCGACCTAGGGGAGGAGGTCCAGGACCGGTTCAGATAATAGTCACTGGTGTTAGCCATGAGCAGGAATCGAACTTGGGTCGTCAAGTTTGCAGCACAGTGCACTGACTGTGACACTACCGCTCCCCACATGTACACACATACACACAACAGCAACAATCGCCATTCGCCACGAAGTGGCGGCGACATCACCACGGCGCTGTGCCAGGCTATGTGCACGTACAGGCCACGTGAAGTGTCGAACGCCCGCTGGCAGGTCACGGGACAGGCCCAGGTGCCATGGGTTCACTGAGATGACTAGCCGATGCACCACCTGTGCCCCCGACTGTGCCAACAACACAGACGGATGGGTACAACAACCACCGTTTCCCCCCCCCCCCCCCCCGTGGGTCCCCGTGGGTCCCGTGGGTCCCCGTGGGTCCCGTGGGTCCCCGTGGGTCCCGTCGGTCCCCGTGGGTCCCGTGGGTCCCCGTGGGTCCCGTGGGTCCCCGTGGGTCCCGTGGGTCCCCGTGGGTCCCCGTGGCCGCCATACCGAGCACACTGAGCTGGATGCGCTGCCGGTCGATGCCCGGCGCCTTCTTCACTTTGCACTCGTAGGTGGCGCTGTCGCCCGCTTGCAGCGACGCGATGAGCACCGTCGCGTTGCCCTGCGCCACGTTGCCCGCAAACGACACGCGCCCGCGCAGCGACGCCATCTGGGTGAACACCTCGCCCCCCTGGCTGGATATCACCTGACCAGGGGGTTCCCGAGGGTGGGCGGTGGGGGGGGGGATAGAGAGTACACGTGGGTTAGTTGGCCTTGGGGTATGCGTGCAGGGGTATGCGTGCAGAGGTATGCATGGGAGTAAGGGGGTAGGGCTACGTGTGCGAGGGGGGAGACGAAATGGGTGGGGGCACGGGGGTACCATGCTGTCCCTCTGGTTGGTGTCGGGGTTATCGATGGTCCACTCCACGTCGAGAACGCCCGTGTCGCCCGCGTCCACCGTGAAGCTGCAGTCGAGCGCCGCCACTTGGCCCATGGCGCGCTCCACACGCGGGGTCGCCGTCGTCACCGTCACGCACACGCAGCGGCCTGCGAGCGCACACAAAGGTCCCCCGTATAGCCATGACAGACTGTTGGGCCAAGTGCTGTGAGCGAGCAGCACCTATGAAGGCCGGCACGGCATACGAGGGGGGTGTGGGTGGCGAGAACCACGCCTGGCTGCCTCTGTCACCTCCACAGTACCAATTTGAGGCCGAGCGCGCACACATACACCACCCCACACGAGCACACATACACCACCCCACACGAGCACACATACACCACCCCACACGCGCGCACACATACACCACCCCACACGAGCGCACACATACACCACCCCACACGAGCACACATACACCACCCCACACGAGCGCACACATACACCACCCCACACGAGCGCACACATACACCACCCCACACGAGCACACATACACCACCCCACACGAGCGCACACATACACCACCCCACACGAGCGCACACATACACCACCCCACACGAGCACACATACACCACCCCACACGAGCGCACACACATACACCACCCCACACGAGCGCACACATACACCACCCCACACGAGCGCACACATACACCACCCCACACGAGCGCACACATACACCACCCCACACGAGCGCACACATACACCACCCCACACGAGCACACATACACCACCCCACACGAGCACACATACACCACCCCACACGAGCGCACACATACACCACCCCACACGAGCGCACACATACACCACCCCACACGAGCGCACACATACACCACCCCACACGAGCGCACACATACACCACCCCACACGAGCGCACACATACACCACCCCACACACGCGCACACACATACACCACCCCACACACGCGCACACACATACACCACCCCACACGAGCGCACACACATACACCACCCCACACGAGCGCACACATACACCACCCCACACACGCGCACACACATACACCACCCCACACACGCGCACACACATACACCACCCCACACGAGCGCACACATACACCACCCCACACGAGCGCACACATACACCACCCCACACGAGCGCACACATACACCACCCCACACGAGCGCACACATACACCAACCCACACGAGCACACATACACCACCCCACACGAGCACACATACACCACCCCACACGAGCGCACACATACACCACCCCACACGAGCGCACACATACACCACCCCACACGAGCGCACACATACACCACCCCACACACGCGCACACACATACACCACCCCACACACGCGCACACACATACACCACCCCACACGAGCGCACACATACACCACCCCACACGAGCGCACACATACACCACCCCACACGAGCGCACACATACACCACCCCACACTTCACTTTGCGTACACACCTGCACGCACACGTGTGTCTGTGTACACACACACCTGCACGCACACAAGTGTGTGTGTGTGTCCGTACATCGTGGTGACGTCACCGCCACTTAGTGGCGAATGGCGGTTGTTGTACATCGTCACTCGATTGATCGAGGGGGATTGTATTGTTGTTCCAATCTCAGAACGAGTCTCTCCCAGGGTCCACACAACACACACGTGGAGACCTTAACACATGGCCCACTCGCACATTCACCTACTGAATTACCCACCCGGTGGCTACTACGATGATGATTCTTGTGGTGGTGGTGATGATGAAGTAACACCAGCAGCATTTGTTTAACAGGCCTGACTCTGCTGTGACCCAGACGTTTAAAAACAACTGCTGCCAGATGATAACGGCTGTGAAGAGACGATAGGACGATGCATTGAAACGACATTCTTGTTTACGTGTGGGTGCACAACATAGTTCTGCTTACACACACACGCATATATCTTTACGCATAGCCAGTTAGGCCAGTACACATTCTCCACATTTCTCCAAGAGATGTATCATAAAGCCCCGCCCTGTCCTCGTCCCCCCCACCACACCCCTGTTCCCTGTGACACATTCTAGTCTCCGTGCTCCGAGATGAAGTGACGTCTTCGGTGCCATTTCTCTGTGGGTGTCACCTCTGTGGTGGTGCCCTCTTGGTGTGGGCGTCATCTCTGTGGTGGTGCTTATGTTACTGTTTGTCACGCGGAAAATAATCCTTAGATATTGAGTTGGCTGAGAATTTAACCCCGGAGGCATCACGACTCTCAGCATCAGCACGAGCACGCGAGACACAGGCGTGACCCACATAGAGAACACACAGTACACACACACAAATAACAATACACGTGGGTAGCAACACACACGGCACATATATACCAATACGCAGCACCAATACATAGCACACATATAGCATATATACATATATAGAGAAGACACACATAGCATAGAGTATACACTCTCACATTACACATAGTATATACATCTATACACAGAACGAACACAAAGTAAAATACACATAGCATATATATACTGTATAGGAGGCACGCATAGCGCACACAATATACACAAACCACAAACATAGCACACACAGTATCAAGATACACGAAATGCGTGACACACTTTACTAATGTTCAATCAATGATCCAGGAGAGCCAAACCGAGCCGTGTGACTCTCTCAGGAGGGTCCTGCCGCTGATGCTGCGACTTGGGGTGTTGACTTGTAAGATGCTGTCGGACAATTAACGATGACACTTGTGTTTGTTATTTCACATGCGGGCTAAACCTGGAGCACCCGGGAAAACCCATCCCCGTACAGATGGACACAGATGGAGAGTAGTCTATTTGCTGTACCACCTTCTCCTGGCGAGGAGCCAGGGTACGGCTCCTCTTCGACGTCCACAGGAAGGGAGTTTCACAACCCATCTGTGTGTGACCCACCAACCCACACTGCTGCTGCCTGCACAGCGCTGGAGCAGACAGCCACGTGCAGCAGCACAGCCATCACCACCCGACCCACTTAGACAAAGATCCCCCGTGTAGCCTTGACGGGAAAGTGCTGTTAGCGAGCACCTTTGCACGGCTCACGAGGGGGTGGTGGTGGGGGTGTCCGGCACCACGCCCGGCCCGTCTGTGCCGTCTGTGCTGCCCGTCCCGTCTGTGCTGCCCGTGCCTTGAGCCGTGACGGGGAAACGAGTCGCAACCCAAGTCTCTTCTACTCAGCCGAGTGCGTGGTGGTGGTGATGGTGGTGATGGTGCAACTGGGGGGCTCCTTTATGTGCGCGAGTCGGAGTACCTGCGAGACTTTGTGCACCTGTGGTTGTGTGTGTGTCTGTCTCCTTGTGTGCATGTCTGGGTGTGCCTGTGTGTGCATCTTTGCGTTTGTTTCTCTGTATGCATCTCTATGTATCCATTGAGTATCTGCGCGTGCATCTCCCTATCTGTGTATCTGGTTATGTTTCTCCGTGTGCATCTCTGTGTGTGTGTATATCTGTGTCTGTATCTGTGTGTGTGTCTGTGTTTACTCGTGTATATTCATGCGGATGAGATCTCGCTAGAATGAGCAGAGAGGGAATGAGCGTGGTTCCAAAGGGCAGGGGGTCGTGAGGCGGTGGTGATGGTGAGGAGGCGGTGAGGGTGATGGTGAGGAGGCGGTGAGGGTGATGGTGAGGAGGCGGTGAGGGTGATGGTGAGGAGGCGGTGGTGATGGTGAGGGGGCGGTGAGAGTGATGGTGAGGAGGCGGTGAGGGTGATGGTGAGGAGGCGGTGAGGGTGATGGTGAGGAGGCGGTGAGGGTGATGGTGAGGAGGCGGTGAGGGTGATAGTGAGGGGGCGGTGAGGGTGATGGTGAGGAGGCGGTGGTGATGGTGAGGAGGCGGTGAGAGTGATGGTGAGGAGGCGGTGAGGGTGATGGTGAGGAGGCGGTGAGGGTGATGGTGAGGGGGACGGTGAGGAGGCGGTGAGGGTGACGGTGAGGGGGCGGTGAGGGTGATGGTGAGGGGGCGGTGAGGGTGATGGTGAGGAGGCGGTGAGGGTGATGGTGAGGGGGCGGTGATGGTAAAGAGGCGGTAAGGGTGATGGTGAGGGGGACGGTGAGGAGGCGGTGAGGGTGATGGTGAGGGTGATGGTGAGAGGGACGGTGAGGGTGACGCCGAGAAGGCGGTGAGGGTGATGGTGAGAGGGACGGTGAGGGGGCGGTAAGGGTGATGGTGAGGAGGCGGTGAGGGTGAGGGGGCGGTGAGGGTGATGGTGAGGGGGCGGTAAGGGTGATGGTGAGGGGGCGGTAAGGGTGATGGTGAGGGTGAGGGGGCGGTGAGGGTGATGGTGAGGGTGATGGTGATGAGGCGGTGATGGTAGGTGTTGATGAGTAGGTGGAGGCGAGGGGGTGGTGAGGGTGTGGTGTTTGGCCTGGGTGTAAAGATTATAAGGAACATGACCCCCGGGCTAACAACCCACGTCACACACCTCACTCACACGCTCAGCACACACAGAGACAACCATCCCTGCTACACCACTCGCATGCTGTTACGGTAAGGGATGTCGGTCAGCATCCATCAAAGCCAGCACGGCACGCCCGGCCGCCTTTGTCTCCCCAATGCTGCACGGTAATTGGGGGGGGGGGGTAACCACACAGCCGTACGGTCACTATGGTAACCACATACTTGCATAGCAACGGGGGGGGGGGGGGGGGGTAACCACACAAGCGTGGTGAGAGGCCGGAGATTCCAAAGGCGAGAGAGAGAATTCCAGCACAAGAATGACAACAACAACAGCAGCAGCAAGACGACGCGGGTCTCCATGTGGCGCGGACTTCAGCACGGACCGGTCTGGGCCCGGCATCTGGGGGAACCGGTTTAGTGGAGCGGGGGGGGGGGGGCTCGGGGGTAGGGAGGGGGGGGGGGCTCGGGGGTAAGGGGGGGGGTAGGGAGGGGCAACGGGGGCCCAGGGGGGTACCCAGTCAGGGGTGGAGAAAAAAATCCACATTCTAGTGGCGGGGTCAGCCTATCTTGAGCGCAGCTACGGCTGACTGCACGCAGTTTTGCACTTTAATTATTGATCATAATATCTGTGGTGTGCTGCTGCGATGGCAGTGGTGCCCTGGCACAGGGAACAAAAACCAACTGCGCGCATTCGTCAGTAACGCTGCGTGGCTTTGAAGG